CACCTTGTGAGTTGCCCTTGTGGATTATTTGAAAAAAACAAAAACAATTTGTCTTCATTTGTCATTGAGTAGTTTTGATTTTCAAGGAATACAATCCCAAAAACAATTGCTCAGGTACCCCCCCCCCCCTTTCAATGTTGAGTCAAATCAGTTATATCATCTTTTGCAGTTTTTAAAACTGATCTTCCCACCAACCTCTGCACCAAAGTTTAAACAAAATATAAATAAAATATAACATAAACATTCTTTTCAAAACAAATATTTACCAAAAAAGTCATTAATTGGTGGATGGAATAATCCCAAAACTACTTTTGGTAATACTTAATTGTTTTTAACCGTATTATAAGTCACACATGCAACTGGGAATTTAGAACCCCAAAAAACGAGGACATTCCAAACCACACGAGACTTTGTGCAGTGTTTTTCAATTTGTTACGGCATTCGTGAGAAGTAGTAAAAAACAAGGAAATCAGTGGATCCGAGGAAAAGTCACATGCCTGTTAAGTACAATAAAGCAACTTGGCTAATGAGTCTCCAAAAATATAATTTTATTTACAAAATGTACATGGATTTTCCATCTTAGGTTGAATTAATCACAGCAAACATCATTGTTTTAACGTGATGCATAAATACAACTGTTGTCAGGCCAACAAGTCTCAACTTGGAAATGGACCAAACCACCCATACAGCCTCAGAAATCAACAAATACCATATATCCACTGGGTTTTCAAATTAGTGATGTTTCCATGCACACGCGTAGAGATTTGAGGTCTACAGTCATTGTTTGTTGCCACTTCAAAAGTTTCCAGATGTGGAATCTACACTTATTGAACATGAGATTGTGGTCAACCAGGGATCCTATTTGCATAAACTGTTGTTTTAAGAAATAGTTTAAGTCAGAGGATATAGACTTGGAACTGTAGATTTGTGCCAGATTCGCCCCGTCCATTCTTAGCATGAATCTACAGTTCCTTGTCCATTCTCATTGACCCAATCGGCAAATCATAGACACTCTAAAAAGTCTGGGGTCAAATTCAACCCAAATCTGGGTCAGATTTGACCTGACAATTTTCCGGGTCAACATAACACTTCTCTTGAGTCACCTTTCTTGCCATTTGACCAAGAAATATGTCATTTTGACCCAGAAGAGTGTGAGGTTCAATCTGACCCGGATGCAGGGTTATATCTGTCCCAGGGCTTTAAAAGTGTCAGTTTGACTTTGATGACAAACTACGGTGTTATATGTACAGTAGAGGGTGAACAGCTAATTGTCTTAAACGCAGTGCAACGCTAATGATGATCTGAATCGAGAATGTGTTATATGATGTTCATGTTTCAATAGACCTAAGACCTAGTGTAATGGCTTTGTTTACATATATGCGCTTTCCTATGGGAGCGAAGTCGGGACGCCAGACGAAGTAAGGACGGTCTACCACATAGGAAAGTGCACATGTAAACAAAGCGTGACGTCATTAGGTCTCAAGCCTATTTGCAAACAGCCATCCTGGAATGACACATTTTTAATTATCTGTTTTGTTTTGTTCAATGGTTATTTTTGGATTTTGCACAAGTACCGGTATCCGATATCAGGGTATTTATTATTGTTTTATGTAGATGTTGAACAGCTAATTGTCTTACATGCATGGTGACCCTACTGATGATCTAAATTGAGAATGTATTACAATGTTTTGCCTTTCAGAATCGTCCTGCTTAGGATTGAAACATTAGACCCTCTAATTTCGTTGATTTTCTTGTAAAAGTTCATTTCCTTTTATTGAGAATGTTATCATTTTCATTTTGTTATACCTTGTGCAAATACCTACTGTAATTCTGAACGGCCTTAAGAGAGAATGACATCCATGTATAACTCTAAGTGATGGGAAGAGGGACTTTAACTTATCCCATCCATCCAATGCCTCGTTGCCAATTAGCTTCAACTTAGTCAGTCTTGGCATGTTACCTACAGCCGAGGCAATGGGTGGAATGTCTGATCGTGTCAATTCGCAATCCCCCAGGCTCAGCTCATTCAAATGCGTCATTTTTGGCAATTCCTTGGCCCAAAATGCAGCACATCCACCCAATGGATCGTTGCCATGAAGATTTAACTCAGTCAGTTTGGGCATGTTACCTACAGCCGAGGCAACATGCGGAATGTCTGACTGTGTTAAATCACAAAAGCTCAGGCTCAGCTTATTTAAGTGCCTCATTTTGGGCAATTCCTCGGCCCACAAGTCATTAGATCTGCCCAGTGTCCAGTTGCAAGCAAGCATCAAGTAAGTCAGTTTGGGCATGTCATGTACAGCCGAGGCAATGAGTTCAATGTCTGTGCTCTGAAGTTTGCACCAGCTTACTTCAAGTTTCTCAAGGCTTGTCAATTGTTTGATATGAGGGGCCCATTCTACAGCTCCACCTTCCAATGTATTGCAACCACATATGTCAAGACTGGTCAAGAGATAGTTGCATTTCAGTGATGACAGGATTTTCTCAAGCTCACCCTTCACTAAAGGACACCAGTAGAGCCTCAGAACCCTGAGGTTTTCCATGTAACCCAGGGCAAAGGCTAAACCACTGACTGAAGACACAGAATGAATCCAAATGGTTTCAATGCGTGACAGTTGTGGCACCTGGACTTGTGGCACCTGGACTTGTGGCACCTGGACTTGTGGCACCTGGACTTCTGACCTACAGATGATTTCAAAAAGGTATATGAGAATGCGGAATTCATTATTGCAAGCCACCATGATATCTGATGGGATGAGTGAGTTGCTGGTGAGACACACTGGGACCTTATGGCATTGGCTTTCAAAAAAACATTCTTTACTAATCGCTAGTGTAACAGCTTTTCGGCACATTTTTCCGGGCTTATCTCGCTTCTTGAACTTACCAACAAGCAATTTTACGATGTCAGTCATACACTTTTCATTGTCACCACAACAAAAACGCAAAAGGAAATCATTTGAAACAACACCCTCAATTGTCTGACATAGTTGCCTTAAATTGTTTTGAAATTCTCCGAATGGAACAACTGTGTGCACTGAACGCTTTACAAATCCCTGGTTTGACATATGTACACTTTGTAAGTATTTACCAGCACAGTATTCCTGAATAGTCTTGTGCATGAATTGTATGTTGTTGTGGCATTTGAGGTTTTTGATAACTCTCTGCTGGGTTAGGATGCCTGCTTTCAGTGCCAGGTCCAGCGCATTTTGTTCAAACTCATCTTTTTGAAATGAGAAATTCTGGTCGGCACTTACGAAACCACTCAGTGCAGTTTTTCCTATAGCAATCACTGTTTTTGATGCATCTTCGGAGCTATATCCTTTTCTTGTGAACATGTAATCAACTGCCTCAGTAAAGAGGCGTGAAGTTGTTTCAGGGAGTTGTTTTTTCTCCCTCCACAACAAACACATGAGAAGGAGAAGCATCGGATTTGTTGCAATATCACTCAATGTGTTGGACTTCGCAATCTTTTGGATTAGTGCATTGCCACTATCAGGATCTTTGTAACAGAATTTCAGAATGTATTCATTAACATCTTCCTTGGTAAACCCCAGAACCTCTACGTGTGTGCAAGGATTTTGGACAAGTGATTTTGACATCAGTGTCTCAAGATGAGAGGGGCGGGTTGAGACAAACATGCAACACTTCCTGTAATCTGTTCTATTGAGCGCTTTTAGGATAGAGCCGAATGAGGCTGCATCAAGTGTTTTGGTCCTCATTTCATCAAAACCATCCAAAAGTATCAAGACCTTATTTGAGTTGTCCTGAATATATTGATCAAGTTCATCTTTGGCTACTCCTGATTTTACGCCTAAAAGTTGATCAAAAATGGAATCAACAAGATCAGATTCTTGGAACAGGGCATACATCTTTAAAAGAAAAACAAGCTTGAATCTTTTCAGGATTTCACATACCTCATCAGCCCAGTCATATGCAATTTTGTCAAAAGTGGTTGACTTCCCGACACCCCCAATGCCAAATAAAATAGCACGATTGAACTCAGTCTCAGGCCAATCTTTCAATATTTTCTCATACTCTGTGGAATCTACAGTTGCCTCAGAGTACTCTTCCTCTAAAGTACCTTTCTTTGTTCTAACCCGCAATTTAGTGTAAATGCCAACAATGGGTCTTTGATCACTAGGAGCCCCAGGGTTCAACTGAACATAACTCCCCGTTGTCTTGTAATATGTCCTCAAAATGTCCCTGGTCTTGTTACCGACTTCTGGGTTGAGATCCCGCACTCTTGGATCTTGGTCTGGTCTCTGACTCTGCAGAGGTACTCCTATTGAGGTAAACAACAAGCAACATGTACATGTTAAAGCAGGAGGTCATAGGTTCAAGTCCCACAGGAGTGATTTTTTTCTCATTATCACTCAGGAAAACACTGAGTATATAGTGTTTATATAATATGTCGGTTGAGGGTAAAACCCAATATTGAATGTACATGTATTACTTCCACTAAACATTGTTTCTGAAACGGATTGCATATATTCTTCCTCTATGGCGGCAAAACAAAAATGATGGCTCGGGATTTACAGTTTGTTAGTAAGGCAGTGTGCAAATACATTTGCCCCCCCCCCCCCAAAATGAAAAAAAATAAATGAATGTGTGGCTTTTGAACTTTGTTTGTTTGGCTTTTGTACTGTTTGACTTTTCAGATGTTGGTTGATAGTACTTTTACACGGACTATCTGGTAACGGCAGGTGTAGGCCTAAAACAATTGATTCCATTATTCCAGTCATTAAGATATCAATGCAAAAATTAATGTGTGACTTCAATAAAGCTATCCTCACTTTTTTTTCTTCAAATGTGTCACACATAATGGGGGTGCCATTTGTGAATCGTACTCTCTCGCATTACCAGCAATCTGCCTATTGTGTCCATGTTTGTGTAGTATATCACCTACAACCCCCAACCCCACTCCACCCTAAATGAAAATACATTTAACATTTGATCTAAGATATCAATTAGTGTGATGAACAAGATTATATTTACCTGCTGCATCCGACGGCAAGCTGTGAGTGAAACTAACTTCACTTGAACCTGCAATGATAGGGCAGTGGCTACCGCTGACTGTGCCTACATGTATGTTGACAATGGCTCCAGTTCGTTGTGGGGAATCTAAAATCAGAAGAATTCAAATATCCTTTTAAAAGATACTGATAAAATGATTCATGTACTGGATTTCTTCATGTCGTCTGTGCTTTGAAAACTGTGACTTTTAATGAAGATATATAAGGCCAAACAAAAACCACATTGATGTGTTTACGGTAACCCCACCGACCTGGACTTTGCAGCCAAACTGCCGACCTCAAACTTTTTGCAAGTTGATAATTTAAAATGAGAACTATTTTCAATGATTTGCCATGACAATATTCCACACTTGAAACTGCATGGCCATGATCTGACACACACACATAAACGTGCGAAAATCATGATGACGTCAAAACTTGAATAACGCTAGGCCTACAAAAGTACATATGTTTTTGATTTCACGTACAAGCTGATATGTATCCTTTTATAGGAAGCTGGTGCGCGCAGAACTCATGTGAACCTACATGATGAATGAGAAGCGTGCGACACCAGCCAATGGAAAGGCCGGCGTACACTTTATTACGCTTTAAGAGCATCACATTTCGATGGTGTATTTTTGTCCATGATATATTCTTCTTCTGTTTTTTTTTAGACGAACACAGATTGATCCAGTGTATAGCGCTAGCTGGTCCTAGCTTGGGCTTGATGTACGTGACGATGTCATATTGACAGCTAGCTAGCTAGCTGGCAGCGCAGGCACGCAGTCCGTGATGGTGATGGCCGGGTTCACTGTATCTGTATGGATAAATAGTTCGCTGTTTGGGTCTGAGTCGACAAAGCAGAACACTTGCAGCAGCTGTGAGCAGTGCTGTTAGAATTATTGATTCACGATCCCTCATAGATACATGTAGATGTGATTCGGGTTTTTCCGTTGACTGATCCGACTGACTGGATACGATGGAGCTTTGATATGATCAGCATTTTTGCGCAAAAAACTTGATGAGCACAGAAAAGGGTACTAATTTTATTTTAAGGTATTAATAATTTTTTTAAATTAAAAGAACTTAGCAGATTCGAACCTGCAATATTTGAATTTGAAAGCACCCTTTTTCAAACTTCCCCACACTAACTGAAACTCCTGGTGAGACTGCTGTTTGTTTTACCTCCACAGTTACACAGAACCTAAATTGGGTCTATGATCATATCCTTGCCTGAATGTCAAGTTTTTATATATTGAATGTAAACCTACAAAATATAACACTGGATGGCATATTTCCTATATTTCTTTTTAAAGAGGAATTAATTGTAATTTATTGTATTGAAAATAAATCCTTGAATAATTATTTCCTTTTCTTTTGGGTATGGAGTACTGTGGCCTGTGTGGAGTACTGTGGCCTCGTGGTTAAGGGCACTGATTTGTTGTCTGCGGGTAAAGCTGCAGGTTGTGGGTTCGAGTCCTGGCGGGGTCATGGTGTGTGTGTGCCCTTGGGCAAGGCACTTTGTCACTCATTGCTTCTCTCCACCCAGGAGTAAATGGGTACCTGTGAGGGCAGAGATGGTTATTGTGATTGAATTAGCTTCCTTGGGCCTAACAGGCTGCATCGAGCTGTATACTCCCCAGGGAGCTGAGATGGTATTTGGAATGTTTCATGTGCCCAATGAGCAGGGATAATGATGTAGCGCCTTGAGCACCAGTCTTGGTGGATACGTGCACTTTATAAATATCCACTATTATTATTATTAAATAATTCTTTGGGTATTCGTAAAAACAGTATTATTGGGTACACCACCCATACGGAACCCCTGGCCAATTTGTTTTGTTTAAATGCACAATTTTAATTTGTATTATTGTGAGGAATTCATTGAATTTAATCAATGATTCTGATGTCGAAATAAAATTAAAATCAGTGCCAACTTCCAATTCTAAATTTTAAGGTGTTTTATTATTGAACTGTTATGCTGTGTATCTTGAAGACTGAATAGATGAACTTCAACTCTGGGTCAGTCTGAAGTTTTCTTTGGAGTATGATCACCCATTATGCACTAGCTCGACTTGGAATCAGGAAGCTCTTTTTTTCTCAATACATTTCTAATACCCAGAGACTCACAATACACTCCGACAGGCTGGCATTATTCAAAACAGATTAACCTTGCGCAAACACTTTTATTTATTTTCTAGTTTTGTTTTTTGGTTTTTTTTAAACATGAATTGTGAGTTTGGGCTCTGTTGTTAATGTTATGGAACACCTTGCAACACTGAGCCTACTGAGTGAAAAAAACATTGACCCAGCAACCCGGAAGGTTCATCAGTCTGGGTAAAATGCAAGTAAATGTAAAACAACTGAATGCAAGATGAACATACATGCAATAGGCCTATACCGTCTCAATTTGAAAATTGCTGAAATACATGCACTGATCTATGGAGGTCAAAATTGTGCCTGCTCTTGAGGGGGGGGGGGGGGGGTCACCTCTGACAAGTGAAGTGTGGGAGATTTGACCCCCTGATCTGTATTGCCATGTTATGATATTTAAAATTATTTTTAGAATCAGTACAACTCTGATTTCACCAGTTTACAGCTTGAGTCTTTTATGAATTATGAACAGAACAGAAATCAGAACATGTACATGTTTAGCATGGGCATCGCGGGATGTACCCGATGTTCCCCAATACCGATGTTCCCCACTACCGATGTTCCCCGAAATCCTTAGGATTAGGGTTAGGGGTAGGGCTAGGGTTAGATTGGTAGGGTTTTTTGGGAACATCGGTATTGGGGAACATCGGTATTGGGGAACATAGGTATGCACACGGCGTTGCGAGGGGGGGGCAAGGGGGGCAAATGTTGGGGGGAATGTCCCTGCCTACCTCAAAAAATGATCAATCGGGAAAATGCTGGAAAATATAGGGACTTTGGGGAAAAAAATGTGCTTTGTCCCCCTCTAGAAAAAATCCTTGAGACGCCCATGATGTTTAGTGAGTTTCAAACATTGCAAAAAAACACACAAATTCAAGAACTGAAATGAAAAAAAGAAGAAGACAAAATAACATTATTTTCGCACCTACCTATCTGGCATTTTTTTTTTAGGCTGTTACCGTAAACAGGCCATTTATTTTGTTTGGCCTAACATGTATAATTATGAAAAATCTGACTGTCCCCAAAACAAGTTGAAACCTGTCGACATACAAACAATTTATCCTGGAGTGAGGTGAGGTACGTAGGTGAGGTAGGATTGGGGGGGGGGGAGGGGGGTTGAGTTGGAAGGGACGAGGGGGACTTCATGCCCCTCCCTCCTTCATAGATCCCATGCAAATGCTCTAGCTACTAAATGTACTCACCTGTTGTAGCTGAGGGGGTGGGTACCTGTGCCTCCTGTTGCATCATGGTAGGGACATCAGTCTGGCAGGCTGCTTCAGATTGTGCAGCCATGGTACTTTGGATCACCCAGCCACAAATGGAAGTCCTGTTTGTCAATGATAAATGAAAAGCTGTAACACACTGGTCTTCATATTCCAGCTTCAATCTCATTCTTCAGCATGAAAACTTGTACCTACAATGTCGTTTATGTTTAGAATAAAGACTATAAGTTTGTATGTAATTCAGCTTGCACATGAATAAAGCCATGCGTACATGGTACATTTTGTGGTCTCGATGGATCACGAGGGTAAAATCTGCGACCTTGGCATCCGAGACCGAGACCAGCACTTTCAAGACTGAGACCAGCCCATTCGAGACCAAGACTCTGATAGGATGAGACAGAGACAAGATCAAGACAAGACCGAGACCGAAAAAAGTGGTCTTGAGTCGCTGGTAGAAACTGCTCCAGACTAATGCACAGTTGACCATCAGTCAGTGAGAGAGGTAAAATGCGACAGTGAAACCTCTTAATTATAGGTTACCCTGATGTTTAGTATAATCCATGAAACCAACAAATTAAGAACCCAAAACGAAAGAAATGAACCATTGCTGTGGCAAAACTTACAGTTAAGTTTGAAGCAGGTTGATTCAGAGACATCCAAGGCGACACTGAAGCACTGCAGCTGCCACACCCAACAATCGCATGACCAATTGACGGAACTACATTATGCAAATTAATCTCTCGATAAGTGTCCATATATGGCATTGACTCAAACCTTACAAGTAAATGATTCACAGCTAACATTGATATTCTGTCACATGCAAGCAGGTTGCACCCAATGAAACAAAACATGCACTTTCCATATTTGTATCTTGTCCTTATAAGTCTATTTTCGTACTTTCAAAAAAATAAAAGGATGTTTTAAATTCTGGCAAATCGCGCATTGATATTTTATATTTAATATATATAAAAACTACATTTGTACCAGTAGGCCTACAGAAACACACATGGGTTTTTCCAAAATATTCTTAGTCAACACTGAAGTCTGTTTACATGTAGTTTGGTCTGCTGTCATGGAATAGGCCTAATACAAAGTTAATAGGTCAATGGATAACTTTCTCTATCAAATGACGCACTTTCATGTGTTTACAAGTGTTATTCTTAGCTCAGCATCATTCAATGCAAATTGATTAACCTTTGAGCCTTTAGTCAACACGTATCGGTACATGTTATGCCTACACAGCTTGGTACACGTATTATAAAACATGTGATACAGCAAATACATTTCGAGTGACATATTTAAATACCAGCATTATGAGAAACTATAAGAAAATGCAATTACAAACTGCTGAAATGATTATTTGAAAGTAGGCCTACATCCTAACACTGGCACTAATGTCTGGACCAACTCTACAAAGGCATCAAGCCTTTCACTTATTAGGAACCATTTTAATTAATAGCCAATCTAACGGTCCAATTAAATTGTTACATATATGTTGAAAAAAAAACTTACCTAAAATTCATCTTCAACCTGTCACTTCCCTGCACAAAGCTCTGATGCTTTCACCAAGAAATCCAGCCACAAATTAAAGAGGGACAACAGTTTTAAAACGTAGATTTCAATTCCTCAAGTTGGAGAATCCAGCGGTTGAATAGCAGGAGGTCGTGGGTTCGAGTCCCACTCTAATCAGCTTGCTGGCAAAGTTTTTTTTTTTAGAATTCTTTATTTTACTGACAGTTTGCGAAGATTTTTTTTTAATTGAGAAAGGTAGAGGAAAATGGGCCTTTCATGAATTGTGTCTTTTGGTTTCCTGCTCAGAGCCAGGTTTCAAGAAATCAGGAAGGCCCCTTATGAATAAACTAAGACATTAGGGTTCAATGACTGCAAACTGCAAGCCTGAAATGTCACCTGGGTGATTGCTGATGTCTATCAGGAAAGATTAAAGGGCCCATGTAATGTAGTTTGTTTTAATGCAATCCTTGAAAATCCACCTTTGTGTCCAATTTAACCTTACTTTCAATTTTTGTTTCGACATATTCCAGGGTATTTTTGTGTCTTTTTTTGTTTTTATGCTATTGCGAATTTCCATAGGGCCTATAGATTAAAACTGTGATATCATACTGGGCAGAAAACTCAATGTTACAGCTACAGTTGCTGGAATTTTGGATTTTGCTGGGGTAAATTTTCTTTCGTGATTCGTTGTTGTATCATACATGGCAGTAAGCCAATGAGCAAATTTTGGGATTCGTAATTTGAACAGAAAACCCATTTAGTTTAGAAACTGAAAAGTGTCTTCCAGAAATGACATCACAGCAAAAGCGCCCTCAGTTGTCCAAAAATATGGACAATTTTAAATGTTTAAAGAAGCGCACTTTTCAAAAGAATTAACCAAAAAGGGATGTCAAATTGTATTCATACATTTAAGTGAAGTAGAAAGTTGCACAAAATGTGTCCCCAAGAAAAGTCATTGTGTGGACCCTTTAAAGTACATGTATAATATTGAAACAAGATTTAATTAATTACACTGAACATTACTTGCCAGTGACGATTTCAGAACCAATTTGGAATCTACTTTGGAGTCAATATTACTCAAGTGCCCAAAATCAATGTGATATTGACCACTGTTATCGTTACAGTGGAGTCTCAATAAGTCAAACCTCGGGGGAACTGGCTCACATTTTGAGGTAAGCAGAGTTTTGAGTTATCCAATGGATTTTCTATTCAACAAAAATTGATGGGAATAAGTTTGTATTTTGAGTTATAGAAGGGTTTTTGAGTTAACAGGTTTGAATTATTGAGATTTCACTGTATTTTAAAAAAAGTGTCTCTGTGTAAGGGAGTGTGGTTGGGCTGCTGAATGAAGCTTTGTGTCAACAAATGACAAAGTGAAAATAACTTTGTCCAAAAAAATAAATTACACACAAAAGAGCTTCCTTGACATGGCAAGGTTGTTTAAACTAATTCCTTTCAGTAGTTTGTGATGTCAAAATATGTGTTTATTGCAACATCAACTTATTCAGTTCAAAAGGCACCGCCATTTTGATTGTGTGGAAAGTCCAATTAAAAAAAAAAAAATTAGGGGGGTAGGGGAGCTGAACAAATCTTGCATGGACCAAAAGCGTAGTTTAAGCAAGTATTATTGTGATACGTCAATGTCAGGCATTCTGGCAAAATGAGACAGAACTGGGCAGAGGTCGAAATGAGGGTTTGGGGGCAGTAGAAAAGAGAATACAATTCTGCTTACAATATTGTTTGCTGCACTCCAATCGGATATTATGTTGACAAGTTATGACTGTTTAAAATTCACGTTTCTCGACACGTCAAAAAAGTAAAATACTGAGAAAAGGCCTTAAAAGTTTCAAGTTTTGTATTCGTGAAAATAAAACATGCCAATTTGTGTTGGTTTCTTTGCTATTCCACAATATTTATACTATTTCTTTAATATCTGTGTAGCAGACATATAAGGGATTACAACTGTGCCCACTTCCGTTGCATTTTGCCAGAATGCCTCACAAAAATTTTAAATGTTACGAACAGTAAGCAAATGTCCCAATGACTGACACCCCTCGTGCCATGTGGTCCAAAGAGGCATAACTGGGCTGAGCTGAGCATGTGTAGCTTGTGAAGAGATCACTTGCAGTGCAACACAAAATGTGTGCATGTGTCTCTATGTGAACCATGTGAACTCATCAATTTGGTGTACGTAAAATGTAATACATTTGATAACTTTTCATAACATTGTTGACTACCGGTAGGCCAAGAGTAAATATTCCCCCGTTTCAGATTACTTCCTGTTTTAAAATGGCGTAGGCAGGCCAGGATTTGTAAAGACAGCACCAGACAAGACAAACCCAGAAAATTGAAATCAAGCTTTGTGCATCAACACACAAAAACACCCATACTGAAATTTGTATCCTTGTGGGGACATTTCTTTGTTCTCATGTAGTAAGGTTTTCGAGTTTGAAAGTGCAGTTTCAAAATGCTCTTATTTTAACCAGAATTAATTTCCTTGGCTGAAATTTGGACTTAATATCACTTTTCTAAAATTCTTCCATTTGCGACACATCAACCCACCTTGAAAATTCCTAGTTTTTGAGTAAAATCCATATATCTATTTCGTGAAAACCTTGTGGAGACGTATTCATCTAGATAGAATTTGCCCTATGGAGACGTATACAATCTTTTGTTCCCTATTGTGCACACGTCTCCAGAGGGCACGGTGTATCAGATCCTGTTTTCCAAAGGTGTTTTCGTGACCTTTTTATGATGTAGAGATTTGACTTTATGTTCAGTGCTGTAAACTGCTCCTACTTCTTCCAGCATTGGCTATTATCTTTACAGTGGCAAGAACCATACATCCTGCATGTACTGGTACGGTGCATGCTTTCACCTAGGCAAAGGAAAGCTTGCAAGTCTCGTCAGAAAACTGAGTTTGAAGGTAACAACCAGAAAGTAAACATACGGACGACAGAAATGTTGTCTTTTTTTGTGGTGAGAAAGTTGCTGAGAAGCATGTTCTTTGAGACGAAATGGACATAAACGATTTTTTACGTAGGTTTTAACTTCTTTTGCGACGTGCACCAGCCAGATACGCGATTGTATTGCAAGAAATTGCAAAATTATTTTAACTGAACAATATATAAAGTGCATCGATAATCAAACATTCTGATATCGAACAACCCTGGGAGTCAACTTATTCAGAATTTAAATCAATTTCACTTATACATTGTACTTCAAATTCATTACTTCAAATAGTGCCGTGATTGATGGTACTCACCATGTAACGATGTATCGCCAGTGTTCGGTTCGCAGGGTGACCTTTGTTTGACCTCCAACAGGACCTCCAGGTGTGTCACATGCTGGAATGATGAAAAACAACAAATCCACAGGAAAATTAGATGGATGATTCTAGAAGAAATGAACAAAAGATATGGAAATGTTTCCATTGTGAATTATCGTACAGCTTATCAAACAAGAAAAATAATGTTGGTCCTCACTTTTCACACCTTTGTCGATTTGGAAACATTAAGAGATTAGACCACAAAATGACTTCACGAATCCTCATTCATGTTATGCCCCAACTTGCAATGGTCGTCAGACCCAGCTTATGTTGTGACTGTCCCAACTTGAGCCAAACTAGATCATTCAAGTAGCAGCAATGGGCAGGCCTAACTTGGGTTGGGCACTGCTACTCATACATGGATGTTAGAGGGCGCCATTTACCAACGAGCGTAGGTGCCGGTGATGAGCACATCCACGGCCATGTGCTGCACAGTGTCATCAGACAAACTGAGCCATTTTCTACACAGCTTTCCTGGAAGTTGCTACAAAAAGATGACATGTTTGATCTGCCTCTGAGCTCCCAGGCCCGGCCTGAGCGTGTGCCCTTGGTCCTACTGTCCTGGCGGTAGGACCATGAAGGCATCCTGGCCCTATCCCGACAATCCTCATCCCAAGGGCCAACTTTACTTTTGTCATCGTTTTGCTGGACAAAATCATGGGAAAAATGTTGCTGGATCAACCAAGTTGGGACAGTCCCAACACAATTGGGACCGACGAGAAGTTGGGGCGTAACACACGTGTCAGTATAGGCTAAGCAAACTGATGCGGCTATTGTAATCCATTAAACATCAAAAAGTCATTAACTTTCATAACCTTCATATTTTCCTAACAAATCAACTCTATATACACAATTCATTTCGATTGTGTAAACATTTTCAAAATTCTTCCAGCAATTCAAGTCATGCATGGATAATTCAATTTATAAATACAATGTTGCAGATGTATCATAGCAGGTTCAGTGAACTTTGATGTTTCTTAAAAATAAAAAAAATATGTTCCTCAATAA